TGCCAAATGTCTGGTGGGGGAACAGCAACCAGTATACCACACTGGCACTGGCATACACCACCACACTGATTCCAGTGACACGCTGATGGTTTGGAGATAAAGGTCTGAGATCACTAGGTAGCCTGGATATATCAGTATGTTAGCCAGGAACAAAACAACAAAACTCATGAATGGCTATAATTAACCTCCTAGAAAACACAGTTAGCACTCTCTGCTTACATTTACTGGTTTGAAAATTAAATGACACAAAAAGCACCTTTACACTGCAACAGCAATGAGAAAATTACAACTATAAAGTTTATTCTATAGTTAATATTGGAGCCAAAATATCACTAAATGGCAAGCAGATGAATCTTTCAGAATTGTAATTTACTGCATGTTTCTTACTGGGTGTTAAGAATAAATTCCATGAATATGGAAAATAGAAATAATGTTGAATGCATTTCATAGTTTATTACACACAGTGCATACTGAGACTCAAATAGACCCTTTAAACTGAATTTACAACATAAAAAAATCTAATTAAAAAGATAACATAACTGAAAACTGTAACAATGCTTAAAAACAGATGTTTGTTTACAATAAAATGGCTTTAATGCCATTGTGTCAAAATTGGCTTTAAGGTGATCCAACTGCAGAATTGTAAATGGCTCTTTATGCGCGTTAACTACTTCTCTTTGAAAGCGGTATCTGCATTCCACACTCATTCAGATTGTGATGAATCACATGTTATTGAGAGACTGACAGCCACACTTGCTCTGGGACCTTACAAGTCTTGAGTCATACAGGGCGCTTTGTCTCTGTTGCCAATCAACTTAAAGTCTTCTGCATCTATATGTTAATGCTATTCAAGTCAGGGAACTATATAATCATGCCTTTCAGAATGTTGTCCTTGTGTATCATTTTAACAGGTCTGGCAATGAGCTTGTAATCTATAGATATCATTGCCACTGTTTTTTTTATTTTAATTTACATGTCCATTCCATTATACATAGCATGCCTTTCATTATATATATATAGTAATCCATCACCAGCCTTGACATTGACTTTGTTCCACTCTATCTTAAAGTAACAGTTGAAAATTTAGCATAAATATATAAGAACACATTATTTGAAGATAGGTAATCACATGGAAGTCCAACAAAATATTTTTATGTTCTTCGTAAAAAATATTCAGTATTTCTGGAAGCAACCTCATCAAATTCTTCACCACGTACACTTCCAGATTCTTTTTGCAAATATGAAAAAAAAAAAATTTTAGCTAAGAAAACATTTGTCGGGACAGCAACAAATCTGAGCACCTACAGTGGATACATTAGAGATCGTTCAAACATAATCAGGCTACTTGTGAATCGTGAATAATAGCACAAGGACTGTGTACCAGTTGATTTACCTTTGCTTGGTTCAATATTACTCTATCTGATTTTTATACTGGTGAAAACACAGCTCCAAGAGTATTTCAGACACCAAAGGAAGACATTTTAAAACCAGCTTTTATAGTATTACAGGCTGTACAATTCTAAATCAACTTAAAATCATATTTTTTTACAATATGATGTTACAATTGTTACTTCAGAAACAATTTATATCCAATCTTCAAGACCTACTGAAGGATAGCAAACTTTTTTTTAAGCTTAACCAAAAAAAATATTCTAACACATTGGGAGTTTAACCTAAACATGCTCAACTATGCTACCCTTAGAACCGGTTCTGTTGTGTCCAATATTTGTATAATGTCTAGAACTATCCGAACAGACAGTAGTTCATTCACTGTATTACAAGCAATGATGGAATAAATTCAGAGACTGCCTTAAGATAATTATGACTGTCATGAAATCTTTCAGAATGACAGACCTTTGCTCTGAAATCAAATTTAATATCCACAAATTTCCACAAAATTATGTACAATTTATTCTATGTTCACTACCGCAAACAGCAAAAACCATACTTTTCACAGATTTAGTTTTGAGGCTTACAATATGACTGATTTCTCCAGAGTGCTTTTACTTTTCAGAAAATAGATGGTGTATTTCAGAAAACAGAAAAAATAATTCACTTTTCTTGCACAAAGTTACAATTGTTTAAGATAATGGATGGGCAAGATCTCCTAAGACGCACCTGGAGGAAAGTTTAATTTCTTATTACAGCTAATGTGAAATTCTCATACTCATTACACACGTTGATAATTTAAAAAATATGTGAGCCGAATGCAATGTGATATTTATTCCCTGTTTGAGTAACTTCAAACATGAAATAAGCCACTGAAACCAGGAGGAAGTCAGCTAGTGAATTATGGTCATGAATATTACTTTTGCTGTGCTTCAGAGAAGATGAATTGTTGACCTAAAAATGCTAAAATGAAACTCACGTAATTGCTTTAACAGAGTGCAAAAGATAAACCACAAAGATGACAATCAGTTCAGAATCAATCTTAATTTTACATACTATTTTACAGCATTTGCCAGATATATTACTTCTAAAATGATTGAATACCATGGTTCATTAACATAAGTATTTCAAAGTTGGCTAATGAAAATGAGATTTTAATTAAAAGATTTACCACCACAAAACACAGGAAAAAAAATACTTTTTTCTTCAAACTTATTACAGGCACATAAAAGAGGTGAGTTCTGGGGTGATATTTGATGCAAAAGTGGAAACACTAAGTCACAACTACAGGTACAGGGCTAAGTGCAGTTTTATTGCTTATTCTTTATTGATGTTTAATTGGAGTGTTTAGTTTATAAGAGAGTAAAGAAAAATCCCTCAACACCTGAATTTGTGTAGCAGCATACCCTTTACCTATCATATCAGGTAAAACTCCTAAAGATCGCTACAGGGACTTTAGTAGGACCACTTAATTCTGCAACACACTCTACAGATTGATGTTCACAATGCATTGTTACCAAAAGATGAATTTCAATCTTCCCACTGTGGCTAAGGATCTGCGCCTGTGGTTGGAAGGTTGCCGGTTCAAATCCCCCGGCCGGCAGAGGAATCCTACTCTGTTGGGCACCTAAGCAAGGCCCTTAACCCCAACTACTCCAGGGGCATCGTATAAATGGATGACCCTGCACTCTGACCCCAAGCTTCTCCCCCTGTCTGTGTGTCGCATGGAGAGCAAGCTGGGGCATGCAAAAAGACAAATTCCTAATGCAAGAAACTGTATATGGCTAATAAAGTGATCTTATCTTATTTGCTGAACAACAGATTAGGAATGTGAAACTGCCCTGCCTAAGTACCCACTACCCAGCATCTGCATCTGAACATGTTCTTATTTCTGGATTGCAACAAAGTTGCAGGAATGACAGGCTGAAGCCGACTTTACTGGCTCACTGACAGATTTATTGCCCTTCACAATGGAGCGTGCTAGTCAGGGTAATAGCTGTAAAGGTGCAGAGAGAAACTGCAAAGTTTCCACTGAACGGAGAGGAGAGATTCATGGTGTTAATTTAAGTTGATCACTATAAGTTTTTGGATTACTGTTGTTTGTTTTAGTTGATCAATGTTAATTTAATTAACTTACATTAGCAATTTAATCATCCTATGCGGGGGGGGTGGGGGGTGCGTGGTAATCATACATTATGAGTAGAGATGGTTCTCTCGCAACCCTCGCAAATGTTAAGAACCTATTGCATAAAGCAGATGTTTAATGTTCCAACTGGTTATCACTTATACTGAAGATGGCAAGGACCTTGAACTGGTGAACATGAAGAGAAGCCAAGACATAAAACGTGTACCCAGGCTGTACATACTGAAAGATCATTCAGCGCAGTTTGTCTCGTTTTAAATTCACCAACACCTTCTTCCCCTTCCTCATTTATAATAATAATAATTGCTTAGACTTATATAGCACTTTACTGGACACTCCACTCAAAGCGCTTTACAGATAATGGGGACTCCCCTCCACCACCACCAATACGCAGCATTTATTTAACCATCACTGTATGCTCCACCACACTTTTAAAGCAAAGTATGATCTGCTGGTGGAATTTGCATTCAAAACTGTAGAATTTCTGCTGGGATACGGAAGACAAGAATCATTAAATTGTTTCCCATTTTACGGAAATCAATGAATTGGGAAAACTTCACACACAAAAAATCATTTTTTTTCCCCTTAAAATGAAGGAAAATGGAAGTTGCTTAGTTTGTAGACATGTGCTGAGACATGGCTTAAAACATACAACTGGCTATTCCACAATCTATGGATTAACAGAAAAATAATTGGTGATTAAAAAAAAGAAAAATTATTTCCTAAGGTTATTTTGCAAAGAATTATAATGCATTTTAAAAGCGTAATCTTGGAAATTTAAGATGAAGAAATATATACTTTTTTAAAAGCAGAACACCTGCATACAAATGCATCCCTTTGATATCAGAAATAATGCAGGTCCTTTCATCTATAAAGTGAGACAATAGTGGTCTGTTCTTGAGTAGGAGGAAATGTCACTTGTTTTTTCCACGGCAAGGAGGACTCAGAGAGCAACATGGTGTTCTGCAGAATGTTCTTTGGAATCTCACGCAGGTGTATGAGCTGAATATGAATAATGTTGTTCCTGAATATGATCATATTCATTTAACCGCATCCCTTTCACAATGACTGGGAAAATAGCCATCGTACTGAATCAAAACATTGTCATTTCCTGCCAAACATAAGCAGCTGAAAAACCTATGAAATGGACTGCCAGGCACTTTGTTCACAGAAGTTGACAAAACTATCAAATCAGCCACTCGCAGAATCTAGCGCATTCATGACAAAAGCAACACGCATGTCAAACGACCAGATACAACATCCCTGTTCATATGGCTTGTTCATGAATACCTGTGGCATAAGTAAAAAGGGAGATAACTGCTTTCTCAAAGATACAAAGACATTAGAAGTATCATTAGAAAAAAAAACTGATATAGCTCCCAGGACACACTCCTCTATACACAATAGGCTGTCCTTAAATTGATTGGTGTGTATCGATGCATTAAGGAAGGAACTGTTGATACTTTACCTATGGTGATTAACTTGTAGCTCAGCCAGTAACTGGTTCTTGAACCACTGATCAAAGTCCACATTGTCGAATAATTCATAAGCTGCGAGTCCCACTGCATTGTAAACTTGAAGGGAAAAAAAGGGAAAAAACAAAATCACACCCATGGTCTTTGTCTATTTCTCAAATACCAAAGCTCCTTATTTAAATACGTAATCAATAAGCTTATATAGGCCCTTAGAGGTTAATACAGTTAACAGAGCAGATAAACAGTTTAAAGTCTCAAGCAAACTGATTTCAGATGGTCCCTTAGCCCATTTCTCGAGGGACTAATAAAAGGGTAGTGACTCAATCGAACTTAAGCTAGTTCACTGTACAATTTTAACATAACCTAAAAACCTGTTTGACTTTTCATTGCATCCCCACAGTGTCTACCAAAACTCTATGAACAGTCATTCATATCTGAAGACACAACACTGAGCTATTGCATATAATTTCAGAAAACACTGATTTAATTTACATTCCTGAGCCTGAATTCTCTTGTTGACACATAGTGCTACTCCTCCATCTTTAAGATCCCTGTTAGCCATGTTTCTTTGATTCCATCATACATGCATGCTAATGCAGTATGTGTTTTCTTTTTGTTTCTAACACTTCTGTCTTTAAGGTATAAGCATTTACTTACTTGATTCTTTTACACTTTTTCACTATATTCCCCATTTATCTCATCGGATGTATTTTATTTAGATTCCC